AATATTGATATATTCAACAGAAATTCTCTTTCTTTTTTTCCCCTTCTAGCACCCACCCTGTTATATGTTCTCAGTAAAAATCGTATACAGTTTAGCTTAGTGGTTAAGCGCAGTATGCCCTCCTGATAGCACGCCTTTCTAACAGGGTTATGAATATGTTTCATGGTCAGCTGAATATCTATACCCTTTTAGCTGTTAACAGCGTAAAACTAAAATAGTTCTACGATAACTTCGAATTACAAATTATCTAAGCTTAATCACTCTTTGCAGTGGTTGGCTATGTACAATCACAAAGTTATCTGATTATTGTCATTTAGGGGAAAAATGATTTATAAATTTCTAAGACTTATTTATTTACCAGGCTAGCAGCGAACACCCTCTGGCTAAGGCAATTCTTGAATATGCCCGCCATTTCCATTTTCTTGACGTACCTTATGCTACCAAGGATGGTCAAAGCAACAGGATGGAGTCTAATTTCTCTGGCTGGCTTCTTGACGTCTCGGATTTCACTGCTGTGCCTGGAAGAGGTGTGCACTGCTTTATAGATGGAAAACAGATTTTGGTGAGTTCCTGAGATAATTTTAGATGTCTTGATTACACAGTGAAACAAGATTAGATTTAGTGTTAGTGAAAAGTTCTAAACCAAAAGAAATATGCTTCATACTTCGCATGGTTGCTGACTGATGTTGTGTCCACCGAACAGGTTGGTAATCGAAAGTTGCTGACTGAAAATCGAGTGGATATACCAAGCCATGTGGAGGAATTTGTTGTAGATTTGGAAGAAAGTGCCAGGACTGGAATACTTGTGGCATATGATAAAAATCTAATTGGTGTTCTTGGGGTGGCAGATCCATTGAAGAGGGAAGCTGCTGTTGTAGTAGAGGGTCTCATGAAAATTGGTGTGAATCCTATTATGGTTACCGGTGATAATTGGAGAACTGCTCAGGCTGTTGCTAAGGAGGTATATACCTTCTTTCCCTTCTTTTGTCGTAATTGTGGTTTTTCCTGACCAGAAAAATGAGAGAGGAAGAGAAGGGGTGTGT